ACCCTAAACCCTAAACCGTGGGTTAGCATTGCAGGCTTGAAATTCACAGTTTCGGGAATTGGGTGTGGGGATCTCGGTTCTTGGGCTAAAGGCTTAGATGTTGGGTTTAGGGTTTTGGGTTTTGGGGTTTAGGGGTTTAGGGTTTAGGGTTTAGGGTTTAGGGTTTCGGGTTTAGGGTTTAGGGCTTTCGGGTTTAGGGTTTAGGGTTTACTGTGCCAGGCATGAGGACAGGTTCTTGGCAGAGAAATGTGCAAGACCTAACCCAGCTCAGCACGCCATTTGCGAGGTGCTCGCCACGGTTCCACAACGAGGAAAGGATCCACTGTTGCTTGTGGCATTGAAGTTGGGGAGGCATACTCCTTGGACAACAGCTTCAAAAGAGGTCCAGGGCGCAAGAACATGCGGTCTGACGGTCTGACTCTCGGCGCACAGGCTTCCGAACGCAAAGCGTAGCAGCCATCAGGAGACTGGTCTGCCACGTCGTTGTTCAAGGCTATAGGAGATCTCCCGGTCTTGGAATGGCCTTGGTATGATCGAAAGAAGGATTTAGGGTTTAGGGCTTAGGGTTTCGATGCAGAACGACGTCGCAATGGATCGTCGTGCGGGAGAGGTGTGTGGCGCTGTCCAATTAGGGCATGCGGCATGCGCTGAGCTGCCAGGCCTTGCCACCAGAAACTGAGCCCGCTTATGAACTTTTATTCACCCTGCATTAGCTCAGGGAGACTATACCTTACAACCCTAAACCCTACATAAACCCTAAACCCTAAACCCTAAACTATACCTTACATAAACCATAATATTTTTGCTCAGCCCTACGCCTCCGTGACTGTTGCGAGATGCCGAACCGTATGGGGAGCACCTTTACCTACCAAAACTTCTTTGTAGGTTCAGTTCTTATCACAAACCCTAATATGGAATTTATAGGGACCCTACAAAAAAGTAGGTTTTGGTAGGTTAAGGTAGGGATTTAGCATTTAGGACGTGGGGGTTGGCATTTCCGGTTTCGGGGTTTAGTTTATAGGGTTTGGTGTTTTGGCTTTAGGTGTGGGATTTACCAGCCTACAGTATGGTTGATGATATTGATCCTGCATTTCCCATAATAAGGAATATACTAAACCCTAAACCCTAAACCCTAAACCCTAAACCCTAAACCCTATACCATAATTCCCATAGTCTAGGGTCCTTAAGGTCGGCAGACAGCTTGGACGAGCGGTGGGTTTCGGGTTTAGCGGTTCAGGTTCGTTTCTGGCTTCAGCGTCGGTTCAGGGTTTGGGGTATAGGGGTTTAAGGGTTTACGTTTTAGGGTTTAGGGTCCCTAAACCCTAAACCCTAAATCCTAAACCGGTTCCAGCGTCGTAAGCGACCAAATCTCCCGGTGGCTCCACCTTGTTCTCAATCAAGGATCGCAGGTCATCCATCCTGGGCAAAAAGCAGAGTTGCAGTTCTATACAGGGAGTTCAGGGTTTAGGGTTTAGGACCTGTTTCGGATTTAATGTTTATAGTTTACGCTTTGGGTTTGATGCTTAGGGTTTTAACTTCAGGGTTTACGGTTTGGGGTTAAGGGTTCAGGGTCTGCAGCTCAGGGTTCAGGGTTTAGGGTTTAGTACCTATAGTCTACCATTGCAGTTCCTTTTATTTTTTGGTTTAACCAAGTTTGTAGCTATTAAACCCTAAACCCTAAACGCCCAAAAACGGAACTACAAAGGAGACGATTAGAGGTATGGCTTGGGGTCTGGATTTCACCTCTGGCTGGCTGGTGGGCTTTCCTTCCTGTGTGTATATGTACGTCCTCGGAAAATCTGAGGCTTGCAAATAAATAGCCTTAGTCAACTACACTGGCACCTACTGCCGTTGATTGTTCACTGTGCTGCTGATGGCTCTTCTGGTAATCGGGTGCCACATCGTTGGAACTTTTTCGTTCACACTCCTAACTCCTAGTCCCAGAACAACCCCATCTCAGACCCCGAAACCACCCCAAATCATTCCATTTCTGAACCCCAAAGTCCCCCATTGCCCAAGTCCCTAGGCCCCACGCCCCAAGCCCAAAGCCTAAAACCTAAACCCATAAACGCTAAACCCAAAAACCGTAGTGCTCCCAAGCTTCATGGACTTTTCGTCCGGCGACATGTCTGCTATCCTGCTGCGGTTGAAAAGGTTTTTGAGCGGCATGGGGTCGAAACTGATCACCCAAAACACTAAAACACAAATGCAGATGCCTCAACAATTATAGAATAGCTCCTTCATAGTAGTAGCATGACAGCAGGGAATCCCAAAAAAGAAGTTGTTGGCAATTATGTAACCCTCGAACAAAAACCCAACACGCTCTAAAGCACCCTACAGCTCTTCATCCCCTCAACCTTGCTTGAAGACCTAAACAATCCTAAACACGCAAGGGCTTCTACAGTAAGCTCTAGGCCGAAAGGGTGGTTTGGGGTTTGGAGACTTACGGCTTGGCTTGGTGTGCGATGTGTGGGTTTAGGGTTTAGGGTTTAGGGTTTAGGGTTTAGGGTTTAGGGTGAGATGTGTGGGTTTAGGGTTTAGGGTTTAGGGCTGAAATAAAGGAAACTACAGGTGGGGAGTTTAGTGTATGTAGGGCTTCTATAAGGCTTCCATATTTTGTATAAGGCTTCCATATTTTAAATAAATCTATATAGACCTTCTATAAGGCTCTTATAACGGCAACTAGACTGCTCCAGTTGAAAACAACCGGGCTTTGGATAGTGGCCCAACCGCTGCCACATTTGGCAACTCAGGAAGTATTTGGCCCCGTCCATGATGTCGCCAAAGCGAAGATGGAGTTCAAAGTATGCGGGTTCGTACCCGGTGGTCCAGTCGTGCACCCTAAACCCTAAACCCTAAACCCTAAACCCTAAACCCTAAAACCCTAAACCCTAAACCTTAAACCCGGACTTGCATTCTGATGACGTAAATCGAGAGGTCCCAGAGGAGTCCTGCCTCTGCCGCCTTGCGTTTCTTGGAGAGGATTTCCTGAGACCGTCTGAGGCGACCTCTGTTAGTAGGGTTTAGGGTTTAGGGTTTAGGGTTTAGGGTTTAGGTTTTAGGGTTTGGGGTTTAGGGTTTAGGGTTTAGGGAGCTGCTCGCTCCACTACTACGCAACATGGCTTTCAATGTTTCCACTAACTGAAGCTTGGAAAGAGATGGTTCGCTCCAGCAAATGCAACACATCTATGCAGGTGACGTGGTCTTGCCTATGCAGAGCTCCTATTCACTGAGAGTTGGACCTCGTTCCGCCCCTGTACGTGGAGACGCGGATAAAGGGGTGCGCTTAAAGGAGTTCACTCGCAATCTGAGACGCCCAGATGTATCTAAACTCTAAGCCCTACCTTACCCCCCAAATAACCTACCTTTTTAAGGACTTATATAAAGAAATCATAATAGGGAACCCCAAACAAGTAGGTTCTTTAGGGTCCAGGTAAGGCCCTAAAGATGTTTCACAAGGAGTGCATGTCTTTACACAGGGGTGGGGGCTAGAGGCAAGCAACTTCGAACACCAGGCAATTCGGGTTTAGGGTTTAGGGTTTAGGGTTACCTTAATAAGTGGACCTGGGTTTCGGGTTTAGGGTTTAGGGCTCCAGCTACCTAAATAACTGGGTAACTCTATGATGTGGTTAGTAACCCACTATTTAGGGGTTCAGGGTTTAGGATTGGGGTTTAGAGTTGGATACTGGTCCAAAGGACCCAATAGAGAGGCATTCGGGTTTAGGATAGTTGTTACTTATATACGTAGGTTCATACTTGTATGGTTGCGAGGAACTTGGACCTTAGGGTTGTTTAATAGTATCTAAGGTAGAACCCATGGGCCCCTAGTATGAACCCTTAACCCCGGCCCAATATACCTACTATATACCCTATATATACCCTTAAGGGACCCTAGAATCCCCTAAGGGCCCATGTTAGGGGCCCATGGGTTCAACCTTAGATAATATGGTTAGTAACCCACTGTTTAAACAACCCTAAACCCTGAGCCCTACACCCCAGACCCATGGCCCGCAGGGGCGACGCAACCTGCTGTAGAAGGAGTGCTTTTGCACATGGTCTAATGACCCTAAGCCCTAAGCCACAATGACTAGGGTTTAGGGTTTAGGGTTACGCTGAGCTTCTCTCAATGAGGATTTCTGCCGAAGAGTGCTGCAAAAAAAAGGTTGCAACCCAGTGAGAGATCCCTGTCTTTACTCAGGGTTGCATGACCCTACCCAGAGAGCCCAATACCACTTAATTAAGGAATATACCTTGAATGATAGAGGCCTTAATATTAGAGTTTAAAGTATATTCCTTAATTAAGGGGTATTGGGCTCTCTGGGTAAGGTTCGAAGTACCGAAAACCCATATACTCTTCTGAATACTAACCTACAAAACCACTATCCGTAACCCAAGTACATGATTTTGGTCCTTTGGACCCTTAGGGTCAGGGTATCCTTCAGTAGACTGGGGGTTGTTTCAAAATTAGGAAGTAGGGGTGTGGGGTTTAGAGTTTAGGGTTTACTGGATTAAACTGTCTTAGGGTTTAGGGTTTGCCTTAACCTACCAAAACCTACTTTCTTGTAGGGTCCCTATGAATTCCATATTCGGGTTTATGATAAGAACCTACAGAAAAGTAGGTTTTGGTAGGTTAAGGTAGGGATAAGTCGTGAACCCTAGAACCTTCAAGGTCCACCGTGCTTTGCGCACCTCTCCATCAGCTCCCCTTCACTGAGCTTCGCCAGCTGCTCGATGTCCTGCTCAACCACTTTTCGCGGAGGGGTATGGATGAACCCAGGGCTTTGGGTTTAGGGTTCCTTTGAGGGTTCCTTTAAGGGTTTAGGGTTAAGGGTTCCTTTTAGGGTTTAGGGTTTAGGGTTCCTTTAGGTTTCGGGTTGAAAGTTCGGGGTTCAGTGAGCCTCGAGCTCACTGAATTGAGTTAGAACAGAGTTCAGGGCCAGCGTCTTGCTTTGGGGTTTGGAGCTTGAGGCTTAAATCTAAGGTAGAACCCATGGGCCCCTTAACCCTGGGACCCTAATATACCTACTATATGCC